ATATACCTATATATATATATATATATATATATATATATATATATATATATGTGTATATATATACATATATGCGTATATACATATGTATGTGTGTGTGTGTGTGTGTGTGTATATATATATATATATATATATATATATATGTATATGTATATATATATATATATATATATATATATATATATATATATATATATATATATAATATATATATATATATATATATATAATGTCTGCCCTGTTATTCTTGTACACAGGGCGTGTAATTTGAAGATGGATAGCGAATAGTTGCTTTTCGTGAATGGACTATTACACCAACAATCCGTCGTCATTTCAACTCAAAAGTTGTATACCTCCTTGATATTCGGTTCTATATTGGTGTCTTCCGGTCTATAAACTGACTTGGTTTCGCTCCGGCACAAATGGCAGGGGGAAAACATAGCCGATATTGGGGGTCTGAAATGCGCCTACCGGGCTATGGAAGCCGCTCTAAGGGACCACCCCGATAGCGATCAGGTAGGTACTTCATACCACTAAACTCTTCTGCTTCTTCTTTGTTGCGAAAGATCGGGTCACCGACGTGAGGTGCTCGGTATAAAACATAGGGTTTAAAGTTTAAACGAGTGTTAGCCTGGTGGCTATAGAGCCGCTTGTACAGTGTTGTGGAGCCTACGACAATACCCGCATATATTATATGTCATTCCATTGGATTCGATGGAGAGATACACAAGTGACAGTATGGACATGAGAGTGTGCGCCATACCGGTATATACAACCCACACGGACGGGTGACGGATGGTGAACATGTGCACACGGACGGGTGATGTTGTATGGATGATCTATGCGTCTGGGATATTCCTCTCTGGCACGGTTTAGTTGTTACGTTGTGCCCTTGTGCTACCTTTTATTCTACGTTCAGGTGTGCGTGCTATAATCTCTCATTGGATTGGGCTGAGATTTAACGGGTGATGCTGTTAATCTATACGTGCTTGGTACATACCCTGGCTTGCATTATCTGATCATGTCTTTTAGTATACGTTCTTATGTATATTTTCTTGGGTTTAGGGTTTTCTTTGCCTTTCTGAGAAAATTAATACGTTCAAGTGTACCTGCTACATCCACTCATTGATCTGAACTGAGGTCTAGCTGGTGAATTCACTTTTCCAAACGCGTTTGATAAATCGTTTTACCTGCCACAGGTGATTGACTCCCTCACCCCGGCGCAGAGATTCTTTGTCAGTTGGGGTCAGTTCTGGCGCACTAAATCCAGAGACGACTATCTCATTAAGGTATGACTATCTCATTAACGTATGACTATCTCACTAACGTATGACTATCTCACTAAAGTATCACTGGCACTCACTGCATGGTCCAATCGGAACTACTTTTTTAACGCCTTATATTTCTGTATATTTTACGTACTTCTGTATACTTCCTATACTTCTGTACATCTGTATAATTCTATACTTCTGTATATTTTACGTATAGCTGACACATCTGTATATTTCACATATACCTCATGGATGCGTACACACAGATTTATGTAGTGATTTTAGTCGTCTGTCGTAAAGTGATGTTTAGTCGTATATATATATATATATAATATATCAACATACACACAGATATGTAGATTTATATAGATATACATACATAAAGGTATGTATTCCCAGTCTTTTTCCAGGCATGTATAGCAATAGCACATCCGTCTCACAACTCAAAAGCCCGGACGAGCCTCCACACCTTGACCGCGTATACCTCTGCCATTTGACCTCTTAAGCAGAACCACAAAGTTAAGGACTTTGAAAGGCCGCATACTCATTAATTATAGATTCAGATATGACAATCAGACGGTGAAATCCTGCGGCGACTACAGATTGATATTTATCCGTGTCACCATAGCAGGTCACGAGTGAATACTACTTATTATTTTTATTTTTATTTCGTTACCATAGCAACTCGCGAGTGTTGAATACTTACTGTTTTTTTTTATCTTCGTTACCATAGCAACTCGCGAGTGACCCTCACAGCCCCGGCAACATCCGTGCGTTTGTACCGCCGTCTAATCTGGAAGAGTTCCATGCCGCTTTTGAGATCAATGAGACCAACAAGATGTACTTGGCACCGGAGAAGCGAGGCAATGTGTGGTGAACGCATTCATATACGTATAGCATCGAGTGATAAATTACATAGAACTTAGTTGCAGAAGCTACCCCGATGATTAAAACGTAAACGAGGACAGATATGTATTGGTGCATTTGTGCGGCCGTCAAATCTGAAGAAAGTTCTGTTGTATGCTCGATATTACATACACCAGCAATATCACCACTTGAACTGGATAAACGTGGTATCTGAGATGTATGGCAATGCGTGTTGCACGCGTTCACAGGCTTGAACGGATATACTTGAGCAGATGCACTTACACCTCACTGGTAAAGTGGCAGAAGATTTTAATTGTAGTGTACAGAACAGGACTGGAGTTGCTGATACTAATTGCAAAAGGGTTTCTAGTGTTTTTTTAAATAAAAACAAAAAGAACATCCTGCATCCTTCTCATACTGCGATGGTGAACGTTCCACCTCTCTACTAGGCACCAGACTCCTAACTTATACATATGATAAGATATTATCATGTGTTGTAGATATATATCTCTAATTCATAAACGTGATAGAATATTATCACATATGTTTCAGATATATATATCTATCTTCACGATAAGAGTAATATCATAAATGTTTTAGATATATCTCCAACTCATAAATATGATAGAATATTGATCAAAAAGTTTTCTACACATCAAATATGATGAATATTATCATATATGTATTAGGTATATATCTCTAACTCACAAATATGATGGTATATTATCATATATGTTTTAGATATATATCTAACTCATAAATATCATAAGTATTGAAAATGTCTAATATAAATATATATATAACATATATATAACACATTGCCTTGTGCGCACACCACAACAACCTCCATGCTGTAAGAGCCTTTATCGTGCATTCATGAGCACCTCATGAACAAGGACTGTTTATCCTTCCGGTCTCTCCGTTTCTCTCCCTTTATTACTTTGTCTTGATACTTGTCCGTGTACTCTTTGTGTGTGTGACTGTTTGGCATGGCCTATGTATTCCAGTCACGCACAACCTCAGCGACTTACCACGACTACGCACAAACATGCGCGCAAGCCTCGGTGAGTGCATATATGCCTACACAATTGGAGGACTCAGAATTCACCAGCCCCCACATGGCAAGTACATCCATGTATATGTGCAAGTACACTCAGCCATGCTTCGTACCACACCCTTCCTTCCCTCAGGCGCCCATCTCCAGACCCGCACCCTCGCACGGGTGCACAGCAGCACGTATATGTATGTACATATAAATATAAATATATATATACCCCGCACCATCCGTACACACCCCCACACTCTGTGCCCAGATACACCGCCACACACTTAGGCGCGCTGGCCTTGCTTGAAGTTAGCGTGCAGCTGAGGCTTGACATCGTACACGGCATTGAGCAGAGCATCTATCACCGCTGCCTGATTGGCCTTGGTCTGTGTCTCGAGCTTCTCCAAGTCGGTCTTCATCTCCGCATCTAGCTTTGTCGCCGTATCACCGCTGGAGCCCGAGTTCTATAGATGGGGTTGTATCAGAGTGGGCGGGAGCGTGAGATGCATACACGACGTGGACATGAGTTTGAGACTTCGACGAATACCAGAGAACATACGAATACACGATACAAAAGTATGAAGGTACACGATACAAATGTATGAAGATATATGAACGTACATTAGAACGGATACGTGATTCAGACAGAAAGCCTCGAAAATATCAGAAACGAACTTTACAGACGCTCCTAACTTGGACAAACTACCCTCTACCTAGACAAACAGGAATCAGAGACGGGAGTGCTAGATTCATACATACAACTACATAAGCATATAGGAAATACTTTGTTAACATACACATAGACGTCCATGCATATTGGACAATATATATATATATATATATATATATATATTGAAATTTATATTAATATATGTCTATATATGTACTAATATATATTTGAACAGTCATGGATGTAGATATACACATATATATACATATAAATATACAAATACATATATATATTGAAATTTATATTAATATATGTCTATATATGTACTAATATATATTTGAACAGTCATGGATGTAGATATACATATATATATACATATAAATATACAAATACATATATATATAATCATATTCATATGAATATAGTCATATTCATATGTATATATAGATATATATATGCACACACAAATATAAATATACAACAATATTTACATAAATAGATATATATATATATGTGTATATATATTTATTTGTGTGTGTGTGCGTGTGTGCATAAACATCTATGTTAAGATTGATGTTTACATATATGTAAATATACATATATAAATATGGGGTGTATATATATATGTATTTATATATATATATATATATATATATATATATATGTNTNTACTTATATATATATATATATATATATGTNTNTACTTATAT